TGAAACTGAATTATTTGTAAAACATATTATGCCAATGATTTTTTCTTTCCCTTGACAGTTATACATTACTTAGTGATGATCGATAAAGTACAGCCCATAATAGAGTACATTGAGATTTGCGTATTAATATAAAAAAACGTCAAAAAAGGTTAATGTGGTTTAATATTATGGTAAGAGATGGCAGCTCTGCACCAAAATGTGTCTCAGTTGAAGGTTTAGGTTATGAGGAGCAGTTCGGAGGGAGTGAGAACTCCGGCAACTGGTCAATTATTCGGTGATACTATCCTAGTTTCTCCTCTTTAATGTGGATCAATAACAAAGTGTGTGTGCTGCAGAGTGTGAATTGGCTCTTACACTCTGAAAACACTTCCAGGAAGAAGAAATGGATAAATAAAAATTGGGCTTTACTTGACAAGAGGGACCCTCGTTTAAAGCAGCAGCAGCAGCATGAGCCAAATCATTACACACAAACTAAATTCACACACATCCACCCCCTCACACACTCCCACACAGTTACAGGTTTGGCTGTCTGGCTGCTACTACAAATAAACTCGAAATCCTAGGGATTTGTAAAGTTTTCCCGAAGCATATAATTTAGGACTGAAATTAAGCAACATTTGGCTCACGCTTCTATTAAAGATAAGTGATAAATCCAAAAAATATACAATTTACAATGTTTTTATATTCCTTCCATCCATCCATCCATCCATCCATCCATCCATCCATCCATCCATCCATCCATCCATCCATCCATCCATCCATCCATCCATCCATCCATCCAGTAGGGAGGTCCAGACGTCCCTCCCCCCAACCATTTGGGCCAGCTCCTCCGGGGGAATCCGGCACTGTTTTTATATTCATTTTGTTCTATTTTGTCATTCCTTAGCTCTGAATGTAAAGAAATAAAACCAAGCTTCAAAATGTGTTTTTCCCAGACTCTTTTTTCCAGACTTTCGGAACTTTATAAAAGCATAAAAACAAAGAGCTTTATAAATAGGATTTATTTTCCGTCTCACTATACCTGACAGATTTATCCGTCTGCCATAATTAATATTTTTGTTGTCATTTTTCAAAACACGGGTTGCCTATTTCAATATTTGTGGTAGCAAAATATAGTCCTTTAGGCTAACGTAGTCATAATAGTGTAAACAATGGATATTGTTTCATGTCAAGTTTATTGATGAAATAATGAAAACTTGAATCTAAATTAAAAATTTACTGTTACCACAGAATATGGTCAGATTCTACAATCTCAAAATAAGAAAATCATATCAAGAAAACAACCTTAAACCTGCTTTATGGTGAGACTGTGACAAAAAGAAACAAATGCAGGAAAAAAAAAGGTACCTTGGAATGCATTAGGTTTCGGTCACCAAAACCGAAACCTAATATTTAAGTTTATTATTAAAACATGATTTGAAAATGAGATATAATCAGTTTAGATTCGTTTAATCTCAAGATGGTGATGTCATAACTCCATCATGCATGTTTAAAATTGCATGTTGTAATAGCAGGATAATGACAAAATAATGCAAGTTTGATATTTCATTATCAAAATAAAGGAATATTTTCATCTGAAGATAACAAAAACAGAGGTGGCTAAAATGAGCTTCCAGACTCTGTTATCAAAAGATGTCACTGAAACAATTGTTAACAATGCTGTCACAATATCTTAAGATACTACAATGAAAAAGAAATGTACAAAAAGAAAACATGTTTCAGATTGTGTTATCTCAAGATTATGAGATATTTCTATTGTTTTATCAACTAAATGAGATGCAAACAATCAACATTAAGTATTAAGAATTATAACATGGCACAATGAACTACAGTTGTAACAAGCTGTCACTATCTCAAGTAAGCAAAACAGTAGACTATGACCATTACTGAGCCTGAGATGCTAAGGATTGTTTTTATCAGATCATTTCCATGATAGCAATTGGCTAGAGATACTTAAATCTCAAAATAAAGTATCTCAATTTTAAATGGGAAACATAAAATACTAACTGTACTTGTTATTTAAAACAATACCTGAACGTAATGGGATTAGGAAGTACAATTAGAGACAAAAGTAACTTTTTAGAATCCCAAGATGAAGAGTCAGAGCTTGATGGTTGTAACTTCAAAGAACAAGGTCTGACTTGTGTTGTGACAAAGTGATAATGCAATGAAACCAATAACATGACCAGCTGGACAATATAAAATAGTAATAATACAACAAGCTTGAGCTCTTGTTATCTTCAAATAATCACATAATCAAATTGTTGTTTCTGAAAATTGTGTTACTAGCAGATCTGAATAAATCCACTCTGAGATTTTTATGTTGTTATGTTTTTATATAAAGATATGGAACAGTAAAGTTTCAAAATACTGCAGCAATTAAACTGTTGTCCCGAAAAAGTGCCAGAGGTCTTGTTATATCAAGATAATGAAGTAATTAAAAAGAAACTAACAAAAGCTCTTAGTAGAGATTTTGGTTTCTTGTGGTAATGACACAGTAATCCTCAAGGCACCATTATCTCTTCATAAGACATCAAAACTTTTATTGTGACAAAAAGTATAGCAGCTTGAGATGTAATTCTTAAAAGTAGGAATGAGAAATGTTGCTGTAACAACATCCCTCAAGTTCATGCAGATGATGAGATAAAGAAACCGTTATTATAAATATATAATACGATTTTTTTATTGTAGGATACATTTTAAAATGTGTTATTTATTGGTCAAATGAAACAAATAAACCATACTTGTAACAATCTGTCTGAATAAAACATCCTAAAAAGCAAATGACAGAATTACTGATAATAACTTAGATGCACCTGAATTACTAGAAAAATAAATAAATAAATAATGCAACTGTTTTTGATATTTACTTAATCATATTTAGTTACTTTCACATAATTTTTTATGTAAGCAGGGTAGGACATAAAACAATTGTGTTAAAGTAAATAAATATGACTAAGTAAATGCCAAAAGCGGGTGCATTACTTTTGTCAGGGGCTTTTACTATTTATAATGCAATAATACAAAACTGAATGCAAAAAAAGAGAGAAATGAGTGAGAATCACAATAGTTCTGACCTGTATGAAATATTTAAAACATCAGTTAGATCTTTTCTCAAATCCGAATCTAAAATTTAAAACAAAAAATGTGCAGAAAACAGAGTATACATTTTTCAATATTTTGCTTGCAGCATTAACATTTTATGCTTTCATTGAAAAAAACAACAACACAAATATAATACATAAATATGAACGCAAATTAAGCAGGAGTTTGAGGCATCTCCAAGTTTGAGAGGCCATATGATGATCACAAAAAGGAAAAAGTCAGTTGAACCAGCTTATGATTAATTCAACAGAACTTTAACTGGAGCTTGAGTACGCAGGGACAATGAGGATAAAAAGAGGAGGACAAAAAAAAAAAAAAAACATTGAGAGGAGGCATCAAACCACTGCTCCCTGTTTCATGCCCCAGCAGAGGAGAAAGAAACAGCTAAGTCAGAGTGGGTGTGTGTAGCCTTGTTGTCCCCGCCTCGTATGTGACAGCTTGCAGCCGTGATGGGACCCCATGGGAGCGGGCAGCGGATTCACTAACCTGCCGGTGTCTGAGAGGCCGACGCGCGCCTCCAATCTGGTGGTCACATGGGGTGGAGGAGGAGGTGTGTTTGTGTTGGTGATAATGGTGGGGGTGTCGATGATAATGGGAAGGGGGTTACTTAGATTATTAGGGTGCTATAGAGGCCGATGCGCGGATCAAACTGCTGTGTGGGATGGAGCACAATGGCATTTCACGCATATTAGGGAGACAATTGGGCAAAAATGGCGCTTTGACGCCTTTGAATCACGCTGCTTGAACTTTAGTTCGCGATTTTTAAAGACTATTAAAAGTTATTTCCAACTATCAATTCCCTGCATGACTTCACCGGTTAACAATTGGTGGCAGAAAGTTTTTTTTTTTTTTTTTTCCTGACTTATGGGTTAAAAAAAAGTGTAGAGAAATAATCGGATTTGTGAAAGAAGTTTGACCAAACTCACTTTATTGAAATAAAAAAAAAACTTGTAAATGGACCAAATGTGCCAAATTGAAAGGTTGAATTACCAACACAGAATGACAGCTATATAAAGAAACAACAGTCTGCAACAGTCTGAAATAAAACAAAAAGTTTGAAACATATTTTTGGTTTTCATTGATTAAATTCACTTTTTAAATTCGATATTGCAAGAACAGGTATAATACCTGAATAAATAAAGACACAGATACATTCCAGTAATGACGATGTAGCAATAGCACAAGACAGAATAACCTAAATTATTTTTCAAAACCATTTTTAAAATGAGTAATTATAATTTATTTGATCTGTACTATATTCTAAATAAGAACAAACATTTAAAGCCTTTTAAAAAACAAAAATGTTACGAAAATACCACATACACCAAAGTATTGTTTTAATTCGTTTATATTACATAAAAACAAATTAAATATGTTACTCATAATAATCATGATAATAATAAATCCATTTGAAGCTAATTGAAAATACGATCAATACAAACAAAAAATGGGAACGATTGAATAAAAAACAACAACAACAACAAATCAACAGACAGCAGATGCTAAAATGTGAAGCACTGAAAAGAAAAATTTGAGCAAGGAGGATCCTTCTTCCTTTTTTAGGAGGTGGGAAACAGATCCTGTGAAAGAAGAAGGGAATCGAGGAGAAAAAGAGCGAGCCGCTCCTCATGATAACCCCATTATGAGTCTCATCAATGATGTAATGAAAGCAAACAGTGTGAAAATTGCCTGTAAACAGTTGGATCTGAGTCTCCTGATGAATTCACTGTCTCTTTTATCAAAGTGAGGATGAGCCAGAGAGGAGAGGACAGAGGGAGAGGTAGGAGGGGAGGAATGGGGAAGGAGGGGAGGTCCACTTCCAGTTCCCCTCAGCCAATCAAGGCTTGTCACAGGGGACTCACGTGGACGAGTCGCTCTTAAAACCTAGCCCCTGACTTTTCCTCAAGTTCAATTTTTTGGGATTCCCTCCCACCCTAGCCGCATCAAGTCGCTTTTACTTTTCCAGTTGTCACTATTTAACCCAGTTTATCTCTCCCTTTTCTTTCGTTTTCTTTTTTTTTTTTTTAACTCTGCGGCGCGCTTCCTCTTCTGGCTCTTTCTCACTTTAACAACAGCTCTGGACTCTTCTCTCACTCAACTTAAGCATTTTAAATCGCCTTTTAGCTGCTCTGCTTCAAAGGAATGCCACCGGTTTCCCAGAAGATTCTCCGGTAGGGGAGCTGAGAATCCTGCGCCGGTCCCTGTCCATGGTGCTGAAGCGCACTAAGCAGAAGACTCCCGCTGCTGCTGCAGAATTTCCTCCTCATCAGGAAGCGGCTCATCGCCCTGCATAGACTTTTTTCTTTTTCTTCTTCTTCTTTTTTTTGTGTGTGTTTATTTAAAGTCGAATCGCTTGTTGTACCAGCCGCGCTCTCACAAACAAGAAAATCGGATAAACGGACGATTTCTCTTTTAATTTCAGCTGGAACTATTTCCCTTTAAAGAGCCAATAGGGAAACTGGAAGTAAAACGGATGAAAATAAGCAACAACGGTGCGTTTCCAGGATCGACGTCCAAGATAAATAATCTTTCTTAGAATAAAATTGACACGTACTACCAAATGGTCATTTAAAGAAAAAATAATTAAGGCCTCATCGGAACAATGGAGGCGTCCGCCAATGGGTCTAGTTTCGGCATCGACTCACTGCTGTCACACCGGCCCGGGAGCCCGTTGTCTAAGGGGGACGGCCTGCTTCCTGGGGAGTGCCGCTCGCCCCTGGAGTTCAGCCCCAGGTCGGACGTGGAGAGCGGCTGCTCGTCTCCTCCGTCGCCCCGGAGAGAGTGTGTAGAGGACGCTGCCCAGAGACAAGTGCACGGCGCGGGACTGCCGCCGCACCTCCAGCACGCACAGATCTCCGCGGGCGCGCAGCAGCGAACCGTGACCTCCTCCTTCCTCATCAGGGACATCCTGGCGGACTGCAAACCGCTGGCCGCCTGCGCGCCCTACTCCAGCAACGGACAGCCGACGCAGGAGGCCGGCAGGCTGGCCTCCAAGATAGCGGATGACTTCATCGAAAAGATCCACAGCAACTCATCGTCGGACAGCGAATATAAAGGTAAAAACTCCAATTTATTGTTAAAGTATACGTAACTATTTTACAATTATCTATTTTTGAATTATTTCGATTTTCTTTCATCTTTGCAAATATATTTTTACTTTTTAAAGTTGACCTATAGGTTGGAAACTTTATTTTAGTGAAATGCAAAGAGGATCCTGCAACAAAGAAAACTAATAAATGCATTAAATCAATTTAAATCTAAAACGACTTGTTCTATTTGATTAATTTAATAAAAAGAAAAAAACGCAAACTGCTACGTTTTAATTCAGGGTTTATAATTTTCTATTTGTATAATATTTATATATCATTCATGTGATATATATCACTTATATTTAAAGTGTAGGTATTTATACATTTATTGTTGGGGGGTCTTGACACAGTCTCTAACTTATTTTTTATCTGGTCTTTGAACTCATCATCCTTGAACTCATTAAATTTCCAATCAGGTCTCTTTTCATGTGTGCGGCCGCTTCAAATTACATCGGAATATCCTGTTCTGATGACGAGGAAGAAGAAAACTAGCAGGGAACGGTGGAGATGACAGGCTCGCCTACAGATAAATCCCATCAAGGCTCTCTGTTTCCAATCATGTCAGCAATAACACACATGTCACCTCCGCTGACAGTTTATTAAAGCTATGGCTGAAGAAATTAGTCATACTAAAGAAACGCATGCAGCCCACCTCACCATGTCATTAATGACAACATTTTAATTATATATAAACAATTCGTTATAATTACATGTTAGTTTGTGATATTTATCCGGTGGTATAATTTATTCCCAAAATTGAGGAATTATTATTTTTATTTATGTCCACATCTTCATCCGATTTGCTAATTATTAACCGATTTATTGGATTACTGATTGATAAAGGCAACAACGCGCACCTTTACTTTGATATTGCCGCCCGGATTGTCTCGCGGATTTGATCCAATTTGTCCAATTTTGGCGCTCTAATCAGATGTGTGAGTGAGCGCGGCTCATGATTTCCTTCCTTTCTCTGTGAAGTTGTGCCGGCCGCGCGTGAAAGGCTGCAGTCCCATCCCCTCGTGGCTCAATTAGGGGGATTATTATGGCGTTGCTTCCTGTGATGACTCCACTATTGAAGATCTCTCGCCGCGCTCGCTTCTGCTCGGTTTTCTCTCCCTTAGAATGGATTACAAGTAATCATGTATAGGATTTCTATGCACTGACACCACTCCACCAAGGACAAAGACTGGCGGCTCAGCGTGGGGGGAAGTCAGATTTGAAATATGCATATTGGAAGAGTTTTTCATAACAATTTAAGGCCAAATCAAACAGCCCGACGGTCTGTAAAGATGCTTTGCGCCTTTGCGCATTTCCATTTTTGGGAAAATGTTAGTCGTTGTCACTTTGGTAGCCTATACCTAAATACAGGCGTTTTTTTATATTATTATAAGAATAATAAAAGTAATTTTAGCAACAACAAAAAAAAAATAAAAAAAAAATAAAAAATTTAGGCAGGGGTTGCTTCTTCAGTGCACTGATTTCAATCAAAAAGAAATATATGTTTTATATACCAACAATTCTCAACACAAATTAATTTAAAGAGCGATTATAATAAAGAGAGAACAAAATCTAGAAAAGCGCAAAAGCACACAAAAGCTAGATTACATAATCAAATTACACCAATACTCACATCCAATCAGAACAAATAATATATTTAAATATTAATATATTTTAAATTCCCTGAGGCTTATTTACACCCGGGCATATGCTACGACTTTATCTTCAATGTGGAAATTCCTGGCAAAAAATGTAATATTCTTAATTGGATAGATTTTTATCTATTTTTTAAAATAATTTTTATTGTTTAATTAATTCAAAATATCTCAGCTCTTAAGTGGTAAATTTGACCCTCCAATTTTCTTTCCTTCCTTGCTGTTTTTCCGAACAGTAAAAGAGGAGGGGGACAGGGAGATCTCCAGTAGCAGGGACAGTCCCCAGGTCCGGCTGAAGAAGCCCAGGAAGGCCCGCACGGCCTTCACCGACCATCAGCTGGCGCAGCTGGAGCGCAGCTTCGAGCGCCAGAAGTACCTGAGCGTCCAGGACCGAATGGAGCTGGCAGCGTCCCTCAACCTCACCGACACGCAGGTCAAGACCTGGTACCAGAACCGGAGGTGAGGATCCCACCACCGGTGGTGCTGACTGGTTTTAGACGGGGGCAGTTGGGGGGAGGAGAAAAAAGGGGGGATAAGCTGGTTTCTCACCCATAAACGAGGAGGTTTTGGTTTTTTTCATTGAGCTTCAGCCAGGAGGAAAAAGTTAATTTTCATAGCTGAGTCACATTGCCAGGGCTGATTTATCTGTTTTTTATTTCCATTAAAATCAGAACAAAAACATGATATTTTCCTTCTTTTTTCTTTTTTTCTGCGTCTAATTTGTATTCCACCAGTTACAAGTTATCAAATATAGCTTTTATAATAATATCAGTATAAATTGTTAGAACCTGTTATACAAATTCTTCCAACTGAAACTGAATTTCAGTCTTTGACTTAGTACACTGCCGCAAAGGGATTTTTCTTTTTTAGTTCTGGGTTCTCAAATGAAGGAAGGAGGGAATATTTGACTCGTTTTCTGAGGTATTATTTATTTTTTATAACCACTTTATGCTGGTTGGCTCTAATCTTGGTCCAATAACAAACCAGAGATACTCTAAGGGTTAAATAATTTTCTACATTGAAAAATATGTTTTTTATGCATTTGTGTGTTTCTGAATTTACCCTAAAGGGTAACATAAACCACTTTTAGAATAAAAGAGGAATATATTTTATTGTCCACATTAGGGATTTTCGGGTATTTCAGGTGAATTTCAGGAAATTGGAAGCATACACACAGGTATAGGAAATATGAAAATAAAATTAGAAGTAAGGGGAAATCTAAAGTATGATAAAATGCCAGTTTAATCAACTCAGATGAAGTTTCACCCCGATTTACAAATAAATACCAAACTAATTTGATATTATTGGTCCAAAATCTGGAAGAACTGAGTTAAAGAATATAACAAGATAAAAAAAAATAACTTTGTCATGTTACAGCATGAAGTTAACTGTTGAGGCAAGTCAACTGATTAAAAAGTAAAACCAATCTGTGCCCTAGATGCACAGTTTGAAACCATTTTCTTAATACCCATTCGAGTAACATTTCAGACATATTCTATTAAAAGTTATTCCCATAGAAGTAGGCCTTTATGACCTCCCACTCAGCTATAGTGCCCATTAAGGGAAAAACATACAGAGCAAACATATTTCATACAGTCTCAAATTAATTTCAATAGAAAACAATATAATTCAATATTTCTTGTCTGGAATAATTTACAAGAATAAAAGCATATTCTAGTGATGAAATCATATACCTATAATTTTATGTTTTATTTCACTTTTGAAAAGACAAGTAAAATAGAAAGAATAACAGCAAGGAGGTTAACTACACCAATGATTACTTTTCTGTTTTTATCAAGTTCTTGATTATCTATTGATGACCCAATCACAAGCAGAGACTCTCTGCTGATTAACGAAGGTTATTTGTTTATAATTCAACTATGTGGATGCCCTTATTTGGTCACCCAATCTTTTTTTTCCCTTTTTAGACAAAAAAACATAGATGTTTCTTCACCATTGAATATAAATTCTACATCGTTTTGACAGATTCCTTGATTTGATGTTTTTAAATTTAGGTTTTGGCTGAGGAATAACTAACCAGAGAAAAGGCCAGTTAGAATATTTATTTTTAATTATTCTTTATTTCAGATTAAAACTATGGGTCCAAGAACTTTTACAAACCTATTATTTCATACAGTTTTTTAATCTTTGCATGTTAGCCATACGTGTTAGTTAGGCGGATCTAATGCGTCATCAGAGAGACAGGGTTCTTTATTTATCTCACAAAAAAAAGATAATACAACAACAAAAATAGGTTATTTTTTATCTTATCTATTCCGTCCAGATTAGGCCTAAACACCAATTGAATGTCAGGTCCTTCACCTGTGGCAAATCTTTAAAGCTTTTGAGACATCATAGTTTGACAACATTTCCAGAATGTATGGAGCTCATAAATTGAGACTAGTTGAAAAATGGGCCCCAAGTGGGATTTTTGTTGGGTTACATAAAACCCTCATGTTAATTAATGGTATATCCTATCAGGTCAACGCTTGGCAATTTCTATATATATATATATATATGTATGGGTTCTAGATGCATTATAGATACAAGAGGAAGCCGTCCTACATAGGGCCCCCATTGAATGCTGGTAGATAGAAGCCAAGTGTGAGGCTCACATTAGGCCCACTATGCTCATACACCCTGAAAAACCCAACTTAGGCTCACATACGCAATAACCCTAACCCTTTTGCTATCCATAACATTTCCAAGTTGTTGGGACCAAAGCTAAGTTCCCTTTTTAAATATGTTTTCAACAATGTTTGGCTTGGGGGGGGTTATTTAACTGGTAAATAGCCTACAGCTGTAAGCCTGAATTTGGAAGATTTGATTTCACTTCTTTTTCAAATCCTTTTCCATATTTTTAACCAATTTACGTTCCCCTGCTAAAGGCAGTTCTATAGCAAGAGATAAAAAAAGAAACAGACGAAACCCCATCATCAAGTTTTCAGACTTCCCTATAGACATTTCCATGGAGTTCCAACATTTACCAATGGGACCAATGTAACAGGTGAATATTATGGTTCAGATGTGATTGCCCTCATCTTTGTTTTTGGCCCCATGTTAGCAGTCTATCCAGGCTTGCTGTATAGACTCATCTGGGTAATTTTTGTGGACCCATATTTCTTGATCTGTTGTCCAATTTGAACAGCTTTCTTATACCCATATGAGATCCATCTAAAACCTGCTTGAATGCCCAACTCAATCTATTCAAGCCAAGCGAGTCACCAACACAAAGCCAACTGTGAGTCCAGGGTCACTTAGTGCCCATCCAGTCTAAGCAGCACCCATATGGGGTCTGAATTCACTCATATTAGCTGTACGGTGAGGCTGTTGGCTGGGCTTTAATATCCATGGATTTTTGATAATGGCCATTTTAGTTTGGGCAGAAGTTGTCTCCATTTGATCCAGATATGGTAGATAATGTGACTTTATTCTGCCCAGATTAAGTTTCACCATCCTTTGATGTTCGGCCTCTTTTGTCTCTTTTTCTAAGAAATTATCAGCCTGATTTTGATATCAACAGAAGTCCGAAGTCAAAGCATTTTCCTCTTTCACTTTCAGTCACAGTTTGACTCTTTTTCGAGAGTTCTGTAAATACAATTTTGCATAATTAGAGGAATTATAACCTACCAGAGGCCTAATTCATCCATTATTTTTATTCATGGTTTTAACTTTTGAATTTTCAGAAAAACCACAAAGCAGAAATGGTTTGCATTTTTTTCTTTTTTGGGAGGATTACCCTAAATGTTGCACAATGTTACACTTAAACATTTAGGATTACCCTAAATGTGACCCTCATCTTATTGGTCACATTTATGATTGTATTTATTAATGTCCATTACAGATTTAGGTTAGATTAACCAGGGTGCGCCTGTTTATTTTTTATTTATCTAACTCTCCTGAAGCTAAATGACATAAATAAATATAAAAACACAATTTGAGTCGGAGTTGCTCATGAATAATACATCGTTGCATGTGTGCATATTAATAATTCAAACAAACTACTATATCTACTCAATTATCTTCAGTATGAATTATTCACCTGCGCGGATTGCACGCTGGCAATCTGAAAGAGGTGTTTGGGTGTGAACACAAGTGGAAGGCTGGAGATTTGGGTGATTTTAAAACCAGAGCGGAGGGAAGGGGGTGAGGAAAACATTTCGTGTTTCTAATTGGATCCCAGGTTAACAGATGGGAGATATTTTGGAGTGTCAAACACAATCGCTGTCGGCTGCAGGAAGACTAAAAAGGGGCTGTTTTATTTCTCTCCAGGACAAAGTGGAAGCGGCAGACTGCGGTCGGTCTGGAGCTGCTGGCGGAAGCTGGGAACTACTCCGCCCTGCAGAGAATGTTTCCGTCCCCATATTTCTACCCGCAAAGCCTGGTGTCCAACCTGGACCCTGGGGCGGCCTTGTACCTGTACAGGGGGCCCTCGGCGCCCCCGCCGGCCCTACAGAGACCTCTGGTTCCGCGGATCCTGCTGCACGGCCTGCAGGGGGGTGGTGAGCCCCCTCCACCCCCACCGCCTCCTCTGCCCCCCATGTCCGGAGTGCTTCCCCGGCCCGCTCAGCAGCGGTGAGCTGGGCCCCCTGCTGACTTTCCTCTTTTCTTTTCAACACTTTGGACCCGTTAGAATAAGCAGGACAAATAAAGAGAAAAAGATCAAAGGACGAGAAACAGTTGGGCCTTTGTGGGTAAAAAACAGGACGGAACTGATCCGAAAAGACTAAAAAAAGAAAGACTTTTCTGTCTGTTTTTTTTTATTATTATTTTTATTTATAATTTATTTATTATTCAGGATGCAGTAAAGTTAAGTATTTATTTACACCCAGTTTCAGTATTCGGATTCCGGCACTTCGACTTCCAGCCAACTATTATTATTATTATTATTATTATTATTATTATTATTATTATTATTATTATTATTATTATTTGCAGGTAATATATGGATAAATGAGCAAACTTTCGCTTATAAATAAAAAGTAGTCGTTACATCCAAAGGAATATTTTTGTTTTTCATTCATAAGTCCTTTATGTGTAAATAAGAGATAAGAAGACTTTTGTTTGTTCGATCGTTTTGTCTCCACTTTAAACCAAACCGTTGGGATAACACATATATGGGGACAAAGGATGGACTGGATGTCGAGATCCACAAACCATGGTTGTTGCTGAATTATTAAGTCAAATTATTTATAGTTAAGACTGCGGTCTTATCCCCTACAGATCTTAAAGCATCGCCTTGGTGAGAGCTCGTTTTGTACCTTTATCGATAATCGATTAATCAGACTTGAGGCTGGCGCTCAGGTGGGCGCTGCCAGATGATTTGTTGACGTTGTGAATCATTTCTGTTATTTCATATGAAGCTGTGATAATAACTCCGTACTGTTCAGACTCTCCTTTATATTGGTGAACATGTATGTTGCAGATATCAACCTTGTGGAGTGATTTTGGTATAATTACATTTTTCAATTTCATTTTTTTTCTTCTTTTTTTTTTTAAGTTAATTTAGGCTCTTGAAAGAAGTTCCCTCCCAAAAAGTGGTGAAGTTTATTTTTTATCTTTGGATGAAGTTCACAGCAAAGGCTGGAGTGATTAAAAAAAATAATAAAATAAAACCAGAAAAATAATGGGGGGGGGGGGGGGGGGGGGGGTATTTGATGTAAAAGAGAATAACTTTTATAAATGTGGAAATAAAAAATGTCTTTCATTTAATGGCGCAAAACGCTTTGGAGTTTTGTGGGGACGAAAACTGTGTGGAATCAACATGTTTCTTTTTTTCTGGGATCAGATCTTAGAAAAAATATACATATATATATAGTTTGTGTGTATGTGTGTGTGTGTGTGCATATATATTAAGTTCTACTATAGCTCATTGTGAGCGCACAATTCGGACGTCAGTGATGTAAAAAAAAAAAGAAGTTAATTTTTAATGTGATTCACCCCCAATACTACAAATGTGCGAAAAAAGTGCAATCAAATGTCCCAGAATATGGAGTCCAAATTGTTCCCACTTTCCCAAACAGCAGCGACTCCGACCCTTTTCCATGAACAATGCAGGAAGCCGCATGAAATATTAATGTCATTCGTCGCAATTGTTTAAGTGCCTCTAAATGATCCCCATTTTGGAAAATTGATTGCTTCCATCCATGCAGTTCTTCCTTGAGAGGGTGCTAGATGCGCGCTCCAGTGCCAAACGGCTCCAACAGCTGGTGACCGGGCAGGAGCTGACTACAGACCGGGGATCAGAGCGAGAACAGCTGGTCAGCGGCGCCTCCTCCTCCCCCCTCCCGCCTCCGCCTCCTCTGTCCTCCAAGTCTGAGCGCACCCATATGATTCCTCCGCGGCGCGTCAGGGGTTAAAGGAGTTCAGGCTGAGGGACAAGGCTTGGCGTACAGGATGTTAACGATGAGACAAAAGACTTTAATAGGTTTTAATTGAAAGTCGATAATGGGTTTGATAGCCAGCTCCCCCTGCTGTCAGCCGCGCATGGCACCTGTTATCTGGGAGCCCCTCTCCTCCTCTTGGTATCTGATCGGGCCGTGAAACATCAGACTGACGGGCTGAGAACTTGCGCTTTTATCAGGCGGAAAATTGCATTAAAAACACAGCTAACTGCGCCAGACACTGACACTTGGATAGTGAGTCTGGTTCATGCATGCATGAAGTTTGGTGCTTTCAATGAAAAAGTTGCCATGGTGAAAACAGCATGTGGACATAAAAATGACCCAAAGAACACAACTGAGAACATGCAAACATGCATATAGCTAATGCCTTTTTCTTTAAGCCGCAGTTAAATCAATAGTGACCAACGCGTCTCAACCAAAGGTCTACTATAGGATCAGTGACTGCTGCAAACTGCAGAACTAAACACACTATAGTCATGGCATATAACAATATATAAAGTAGAAAAAAAATGAAAATATTAAAAAGAAAAGGGATTGAGAAATTATAGTTGAACTAAAATACAATACTATAACAAAGTAATGTCATTGAAATAGGATTTTATTTACATTAGTAGCTATATATATTTTTCTTCCTTCTTCGCTTTTAGTGTCCATCATGATTACTAGTGAGTTTAACGTTTGCTGAAGGTTTTTTTTGCTTTGTTTAGACAACAAAGGATTTTTGTTGGTTTGTTTGTTTTTCTTTACTTTTCTTTCTTTATTACCGTTCTTAACCAAATCAATAAAAAAAAATCAATCGGGGGCCATTTAGCTATATTTTGATTAAATGTTATTTTATATAAAATCTTATTTGTATGCTATTCATTTTGCTTCATTTTATTGCATAAACTGAAGGCGGTCATACTGTGTGGATGTTAGGTTTAGTTGGTTTTTTGGTGTAAGAAAAATCAAACAACCACCGAATGAAAAACAAAGTCAAATATTTTCTAGCACATTTTTAAACGATACATTTGTTTATAATTTTTTTTCGCCATTTCCTTTCTTTATTTCACAAATTTAAATGCAACTGGAAAACGCTTTCGTCAGTATTGACAATTTAATTGCCATGACAGATAAAGGCATCTTGGAAATTCCGCAACTTATTTGATTACTTTACGGTTACTTGCTTCTTTAGTTTATTCTTAAACTGAAAACAAGATGCCTGATGCCTGACCTGGAGCTGCCAGGATACCTGAAGCATCAAAACAGCACCTGCTGTATGTGAGGATAAAACAAGGACCCAGCAGCGTTAAAAAAAAAAGAGAAGAATTCACTTGATGGTAAGATCGGATAAAGAGTAGGAGGGGGAAATACCTCCCAACTTGCCAAAAGATCATTATATTCCCATCATGTGGATCCGTGACCGATTCAGATAACGACTGCGCATTTTCTTTTAATACTTGCAAAGTGCGCAGCTGATTATCGCAGGAATTGGGGCCCAGTGCGTCCTGCTTGATGACTCGGAGATTTTCCTTTTATTTCCATGTGAAAGGGGGTGCTGGTAAATCCCCCGGCTCTCAGCGCGGATTGTCCCCGGCTCAGGGTTAATGAAGTGCGGATGGAGTGTGGTTAAGATCCCGACAGACAAAAAAAAAAAAAAAAAGACAAAAAAAGAAGAAGACTTATACTCTGAGGATCAGTGACTCCTCCTAATCCAATGGACCTCTAATGATAATAATAATAATTCAAAGGAGAAACAAAAACAAGAACAAAAACCTTTTGATGAAATTAAGAGCGAATCAACGCCTGATTTGGATTGTTTGTTTTTATTTTTAATTTCAGTGTACCAGTGTGGCGGATCTGCATTAGATAATTATCCTTGTTGCATCATGTTTTTAAAAAGATCTACAAGGGAAGATAAAAAATAAATCAATTAAAATGTTCCAGAATAACATGGCCTATTTTATTTTTTTAGCCACAAATGAAAAAGGCATAATCTTACAGATTGGTGCAAAAAAAGGGGTTTAATGCTGTTTTTTATATCTGCTCTTAGTTGGATAGGAACAACATCTATGCACACATACCCACTGCTTTGCTCTATTTAGGTCATTTGGACAAAGGTTAAAAAACAAATGAATTTATTGGGGAAAGATTTGCACATAATATTTAATTTTAGCTCAAAAATATTAAAGCTACCTGTTATTGTTGGATTTCCCTTTTAGCATCACTGTGAATTTTATTGGCAGCTTTAAGCAAATCATTGTTAGTTTCTGATGCTTTACAGATTAGAAGAAAACCAAATGTATGACAATGCTTCCATATTTGTTGGGGGAAAAAGCAGAAAAAGATAGAATCAGTGAATTTGATGATCAAGTTGTGTGGTAGGATGAATTAGGGAGAGCACTGGGGGAATATGTTTGAAGGGGAAGGAAAAGGAGATCTAGTTCTTGCCTGGAGGTACGAGAGGAGGCCGTGAGCAGGAATGAAAGCCTGGTGGAGTGTAGGGGATATAACCCCACTAATCATTTCCCACAATATGACGGAGGAAAGAGGAGAAGAAAACATACAAACTTGGGTCAGGGGCGTCAGGATTGACATCCTGATCTCAGCAAATAATGAAAGCTTTCCTCTCGGATCACAGGGGGAGTTAGGGAGGAATACTGGAAGGAATATAGGAAGGGTTGGAAAGGGAAGGGAGGAGGTTTCTGCCTCACAGCCACACACACAGCCTAATGCATACTAGATTGTCCTATGTTACCAAAAAAACCAAACAAAAAATAACAATAAAACTGTTGTGGCTAGTTGACTTTTAGCTGTTTTTTTAAATCTACCTTTTAATAATAATTAAGGCCCTAAGGTCAGTTGTAACCAGATATATAACAAACAGGTTGTTCTTACTGACATTGAATTTGGATCAACTGTTCCAGTGTTGGGTCAGTTAGGATTGGCTAAATACCAAAAATAAGTAAGGTGATCTTTAAATATGGTCATTAATTAGGATAAATGTCTTTAGTATTTGCAAAGAATTGTCTTCTTAATTGTATTGCTTAGGGTCAATGTATTAGGAAGTCCAATTTATCCTCTAGTAAAAAGGCTCTGATAAAGTTTGGTTTGATATTTCAGAATAATTCTCATAAAAACAGCCTTACAATATGCTTCACGATTGGCACAATCTTCTCAGGTTTAAAAGTTTCCATATTTTCTCCTTATCATTAAGGCTTAGCACTTATGTTTTACTTTCAGCAAACGAGCAAATTCTCCAAAAAGTTGTCCCTGAGTAAATTTATAAACTGTAGCTTGTCTTTGTTTTCCCCTTTAACGGTTATGATGTATTCCTTCCCCAGGGCTTTTA